AAGTTTTACCAAACAGGCTATCAATTGAAAAATGATTTATTTATTTTTATATTTTTGGAAAAATGTGTGGTTAAATACGAGATCCGAGCCTTTCATTGGAAGACTAGAGAAATTCGCTGGTGTTGAAGGAGCACAGAGACGATTCAGGGGCTGTGAAAGCTTGGCATTCACAGAAGGTAACTAATTTTTTTTTTTTTTTAAAATATCCTATATGGCAATACATTATACATCAGAGCGAATGGTTCACTGGTAAGAAATTGCTATCCCAAACAAGCAACGTTACTAAAACCTTTAGAGAGACCTGCATTCGTTACACTCATTTTCAACCACAAATTCACTCAATAAGGTCGTGTTTTACAAAAATTATTTGAATTTTTTTTACGTATTTATTTTCAACTATATATTCACACAATAAAATATTATGCACATAAATCAAAAAAAAATTCCTAAAAATACATTTTTTTTGAAAATAATGGCCACCAAACAGGGGTTCAAATATTCTATACGTAAATATAATTTATTTTTTTTTACTTTTTTAATCACACTTTTCAAAAAATCACTATTTAAAATAATATTTTTCTAAAATTAAATATCCGTTGCGTTTTTTCATCTCAATATGTTTAATTCTCAATTTCTAGCTCCCTAGTTTTTGTTGACTTGCATAACAAGATCATATTTGGTTCAGCTAAACAAAGAATGAAAATTTAAGTCAAAATCAATAATTAATTTTAAACGTACATTAGCTGGTCCAGCTAAAAAAAGAATTAAAATTTAAGTTAAAATCAATAATTAATTTTAAACTTACATTTTATGGGATTTACAATTGTTTGATCATACATTACAACAACTTTTATAAAATTCTATTAAAAATCTGATTTTTATTTAAATCAAGCAGATGATAAGTAGCAATATTTGGTAACATCTTAACATTTAACGGCGCTAATGCTATATAGGATTTAAAGCTATTCTTTTTATCCAAGCGGTTATTAGTGAAAATTTACATGAGATATGACTTTTTCGAATGTAAAATTCGAAAATTTTTGATGTCATAT